CAGAAACAGACTGGGATTAGTCATGATACAACTAAATTGGGATAATTCCATTCATCATTAGTATACTTACCTTTTCCTAAATGATTTCATTAATATCATATTACCTCGTAGTTCTGTTGATCATTTCTTACTTTCCATGATCACAACATTTTCCTACGTATTAAGTATTGAAATCAAAGTTAGGATCAAACACTTTTCTTGTGGATATCTTGGAAATTCTTTCTAGTTCAGCTATTTCACAATAACACTCATTAATTTTTATCCTTTTGTTTTTGATAATTGGGCTAACAAGATCATTTCCAAATGCTTTCTTTTTAGCTGTTTTCTTAATTGCTTCTCCTACACTTTCTTTGTACTACTTATATGTTTCTCTCATTTCTTCAGTTGATTTACCTCCTATTTTACCATATTTACCAATTATCTTTTTTCTAATACTTTCAAAGTTCCCTAATTCTTCTTCTTCTTCTATTAATTATTTGAACTAGTTTAAAAGTGTTTCTTCATCTTATAAGTTAATCTTTTCTCGTAACACATATTCAATTTTGTCTTTGTTCAGTGCAATTGAGTTAGGGCTAACATTAGTGTGTTGTCCTAAGTTGAATTTCATATTATATTTTCCCGCTAATTTATAATATGTTTTATATATTCCTTATGTTGTCTCCTCTCCTTATGGTTCATATGCTCTAACTATGTGTAGTCCGTTTCCTCTTTTCCTATTTCTAACACATCCTTGAATCATCTTTAACACTTCAAACAAAACTTCCTCTCTCTAATCACCATTTTCATATTCATCCATCATTGCTTCTATATTATCCATGAATTCTTTATTTTATGCTTTGATAATATCTTGTAGTTCATCCTTATTCTTCTGATGCGCTTGTTCCACAATCTTTTTCATTTGCATTAGACTCGTAACTTTCTTTTTGTTATGTTTGGCTATAATTTATTCAGCTGATATAAGTGGAACTTCTGAGTTTAGAATCTCTTCCAGTACTTCATCATTGTATTCCAGTAATTCTTCTATATCTTTTCTCGCATGTTGTTTATGCACATATTCTATCACTAATGTTCCAATGTTTGCTATAACTGCTCTATGGTCCATTTCTCTTTACATCATGACCTTAGTATAGACCTATGGATTTTTACCAATACCACTAGTATAAATCCCATCAGGTTTAGATCTGACTAGGTTTCCATGTATATTAGCTTAGAATGTGTATAGAAGGTCTTTAGTGATTTCCTTGAGACTATTTTTCTCCATTAGTTTGTGTCCTTTTGTATTAAAGTCTCCTATCACGATAACTGGATGTCTAGTTAGTGTGGATATATAAGAGATCATTTACATTAGCTCTTATATCCATTCTTTCTCTTGCTTGATTGGTGCTTAATTTATATATACGGGGAAAAGAATAATTTTATTTGTATAATAGAAATCTCTTTTACTTACTTTGGTTGTTTTATATTTGATTTCAATCATTCCTCCAGTATTTCCATATTATACAATTAGTTTAGCTTTGGTATTTTCATATTTGGTTAGAACTACAACCCCACCTCTTGCAAGTTCTGGTGTGGTCATAACCTACGTTCTAATTCCCAAATTTTTCAGTTTTCTTTACCATTCCATATCTTTTTTCCAAGTTTTTACTTCTGTTAGTACTAGTATGTCCAATTTCTCGCAGTGTATAAAATCTACAAACACTTAGACTTTTACTGCTGCATTAGTATTAAAACCTTGGCAGTTATATGTCGCTATTTTCAGTTGCTTTGCCAAAGTAATTTGGTCTGATTTAAGTGTTTTGATATCAACCATTTTTTTATCCCATAGTGCATTTTTGTAATGGTTATATCCTTATTCTAGTGTTAACTTCTGTTCATCATCTATATCAAAGTTCCAGTTTTTCAGGTTTATTGTTTCCTGGTTACCATATATGTCTGTCATGAGACTCTTATATGGCTGTGGCATATTTTACACTAAATTTAGCTAAAATCCTATTATAATAATCACTATTATCTATTTGCATGAGATAAATGGTGATATTATACATAGGACAATAAAACAAAACAAATCTTTAAGATATTTTTTACTTTTAATATTGATTTTGGGCATTGACTATCCTAGAATGCACAGGATGATAGTGTAGATAATCATTATCCATGTTATGGTCCATTAGTACATTTCTTTCAGTTCTTTGAGTTAGATTGGTTACCTATATTAAGATACAAATACATTGTTAAAACAAAAAAGTTGATTTTGGTCTTCGTTCTATGTTCTAGGGAACGAAGGCCTAATGCTCTTTTCAAGTTCCTTTCCGGCGTACTCTCGAGCAAGAGTATCTTTTTGTCTGGATGATTGAGTGTGTTGTTAGCACTACTCTTTTTTGTTGTAAATTATTTAGTAATTCACGGGCTTAGGCAAGGAGCTCTACCAGTAGTCACAAGTAAATCATTGGTTTGAGGTGTAGGAGCCTTGGCTGGATCCGATTATCTCTTCTCCAACTTCGACTGCTACTTAGTGAGAACTCTTATTCACAGATATATTCTCTAGGGCTTGAGTTCTCTATGAATTAGAGTCAACACCTCCCCTAGTTGTTTTGATCACAACTTTTCCGCTTCTAAGTGTAATGTTTGATGCTGTTTCTCTAATTCTTGTATTTTATTTTTCTCTCTTGAAGTTATTCTCCCTCACTTCTCTCACCTCTGATTTATTGTTTCTGCTTCTGCTTCTATGTTTATCCACCGCAGATACTTTGATATCAGTACCATCATTCTTTTTGACTCTTTTGCTTTATCCTTGATCGATACTTGATTATCTCTTTTTAATTGCCGCTTTAGCATTTGCTACTCCTATATTCTTATCGACAATTTATGTTTCATCTTTCATTTCTTTGTTTTCTTCAATCACTAACATTTCTTGATTCACTACTATTATTGTTGGTTAAGTGGATGTAATTTAAGGTTTCCGTTCCGTTTCTGCTATTCTCGCTTCTGATAGTCCCGGTCTATGCAACTATTCTCCTGTATCATTATATCTCCTGAATGGTATTTTCTATTATATTTGATTGTCTGCAAATACTCTTCTCTAGTATCTCGGATAACTTGCTACTTCATGATTAGCTGTATCTGATCTACCCTCTTCCTTCTCTTTTTCATATCTTTATGCTATAGCATTCACTTTCTTGTCTCTGATTTTTGTCTTATATTATCTCATAGTTTCTTCTTAATTTTTCCAGAATTCTTCTAACCATTTTCTTCTTCTGCTAATTATTTTATCTTCTCTAAATGCTCTGTCCAGTCTTCTATTTCTTTCTTCTTCCAGTATCTCTTTTTTATCAAACATATCTTAAATCATTTCCCAAGTCAACTTTTACATCCTTACTCCATCGGTTATTATCTCATCCTTATAATTTACTCTTTTTTCTCTATTGAATTTGTTGTATACTTCTTTAAGTCTATCATAAGTTTCTTTTCTCTACTATTCTGTTACACTTTCCGCCATAATGTTAATTTCATCTACATTTTCTGGTGTCCATTCTCCTGTTGATATTCCTAGTTTTTCTCCCATTGCTTCTACTCCTATTTCTACCACATACATTACTTATCTGCCTATTCCCTTGTCTATTTTTACAAATACAAAATCTCCCTTTAGTATGCTTGTATACTCATCGTTAAGTGCTTCGTCTATTGCAGTTAAAAGCGCTCTTCTACTTGTACCACCTTCATACATTAACTTTCTAATTTGTTCTGTGGTTATTCCACCTTTAATTTTCGGTACCAATTCTCTAGCTTCCTCTAATCCTGGTGTATTGTTTTCATTAATTCTCTTTCTTAGCATAATACTGTCTATACCTCCATTGTTGATAATTCCTTCACACAGATTGTCTAACATATATTCTTCACTAAGATTAATTCTAGTGAAGAACATTTATCCCTAATTTTAATTGTGCTATTCTACAATTTATTTGTGGATAACCTAACCCTATTCTCCACTCATATTCACCAAATTTTCCAACTACTGTATTATCCTAATTGTTTCAGCTGCTAAGATTTTAGCTAAATCTTTATTTTTCCCTACAATATCCTTTATATTACAATCTAATAGTTTTTCCTTAGTGCCACATGTTGTTGTGATCATTGTTTCAAATTTACCCTATATTTAGTTTGCTATTTGAAGTAGCATTATTTCTTCTCCTCTACACATAATGAGTCCTTTCTTAAGCATTTTAGCCCACATGCATGCTTCTTATAATGGTTCTATTGATCTAGCTTACACCATTGGATAATACTCCTCATAAAATTCTATATTTTTTTCTAATTGGTTATTACCAATTTTTCTAGGCTTGTATCTGCCATTATCTTCTCTTCTCTCCTCCCAAAATCTTCTATTACTGACATATTGTTTCATTGTAGTGATTTCATCATCTAGATAGAGTACATGGCTATCGTTAAAGGTGGTATCCCACCTTAAACCGTATATATCCATGGTTTGAGATTAATTGTCAATATATAAATATGAGTTACCTGAGTATGGCGCTAAATTACCTCTGATCCTAAGATAGGATTCAAAGTACCTAGCACTAGGGTTATATACAAACTATGCTTTTGTGTATAAGCTCCATATTCTTTCTGCTTCATACATTTCCTCCAGAGTCTTTTGTTAAGTTTCTCCTTCTTCGGAAGGTACATCTCTCATATATTATGCTTGGACCCATCTCATCCATTCGTCCATTTTTGCATTGTAATTAGCTGTGACTTAGTTTTCCGCTCTAGTATTTCTGTTTGGCCACTACTATGTTTGTGCTCTTTTATCATGGAATATCTGGATAAATGCATATCTAACCGCTAGATCATTTATCTCAGCTTATCCCATAATGTATTGTCTGATTATCCTTAGACAGTCTTTCTTCTTTCTCATCTCTATTGCTGACATGCCTTGGTTTTTCCCCTATGCTATTATACAGAGTCCGTGCATTACTCTTGTATAATCCTATCTATATGTCATCTAATATTAGCTAAGATTTGCTGAGAAGTAGCCTGATACTTTGAGTCCTGTATTCAGTCTCTCCAAATCTTTTTTTACCAATTTTTCTATAGGCGTTTCTCTATCCTAGACTCTGGTAGGCTTTCCATCTACCATTACTGTGTATTAGTTTCTCGCTTATTTGTAGCTAAATAATATACCTTTATAATCTTAATCATGAGAATTAAGACATTCAGGATGAATGCATAATCCCCATGCATAAAATAAACATAAATTTGTACCTGAAAATATTTCTTTTTCTACTAATTCGGTATCTAGTCCCCAAATTAGTGCTTTGCAAATACTTCTGAATGTCCAACATATTTTGTCTTTGATAAAGAGGTTTTTCCCCAAGAAATAGCCTCCTATACTCGTGGTTTGTTCTCTATTCGCTTTGTCTAAGTATTTTTTTAACATTCTAACTTCCACTGCTGCATCTGCTATGCTCTTATTTATTTCTACTAGTCCCCTCATCTTCTCTGGTTCTGTAATCAGTGTTGTTGCTCCATGTTCAGTTCTCATAAACTCTACTTTAGTAAATGTTCTTTCATAGTAGTTTCTGTTGTATGCTCCTGTTCCTCTATTCAATGTCTATTATCTCCATCCATCATCTTTTTTGTTGTTATCACCTTTCTTTCCATCTTCTTTCTTTTCTACTATGATTTCCATTAGTTCCTGTCTATGTTTCATTGATCCATCAGCTGTTTTAATTCTTTCTCTTACTTTAGGTGCCATGATTCCATTTTCTTTTAGTATTGCCTCAATATGCACTCTACCTTCTTTCAAGAAGATATTCTTATTTGGTTTATAGCCTATTGGAAGTTCGATGGCTTATAGTTTTTCATCCCATTTAAGTTTACTACCTTCATCCTCTTCTTCCTATTCCTCTTATCCTTCTTCTGCCTCTTTGTTTCCTTTTCTTCCTTTTAGATCTTGCTTGACACAATTCATCCAGCTTGCTACTAACGGATTATCTTCCTTTAGGATTTGATTGTAGGCTGGTTCTAGATGTATTAGTTTCTTAGTCCATTCTTCCGGTTATTATCCTTCTATAAGAGACATCTACGAGCAGATTTCCGTTATTGTTTTTTAGGAAGTAGATTATTTTCCATT